TGGGCGAACAGGGTGCTGACCACAGGACGAATCCAAGTAACTCTGAGATGAGAGGCTGCTGCCATGGTCCACAGCAAGATGTGAGGGCCAACACGAGCAGGTTCCGGCCAGGCCAGGAAGAACACAGGACCACGGCAGGCCGAGTATCAGAGTGACGTTAAGTGCCCAGGCTGTGAAATCAGACTGATCTGGGTTCCAACCTGACTTTCTGGAGCCTCCTGTTTCCTCGTCTATCAAGTGGAGATAATAATACCATTTACTTCACTCAATTGCTGTCAGGTTGAAATAAAATGAGAATATAATGTATGTGAAATATTCAAATAACAACACATATTATATCTGGTGCTTCAAATCTACTACATCTACTAGTTCCTACTCACAATGTTGCCTTCAATACGAGTCCTACACCATTCCTTTAAACATTTAACACATATTTAGAGCACTACCCACCTACCTAAGAGTCAGACGCTGGTGATGCCTCCTTCATAAGGTCGCCTTTGACTAGCCCCAGCCTGAGCCACGTCCTTTGCTGAACTCCTGACTACTCTCGCCCCTACTATTCATGTCAGCACTTACTCACATGCAATTTTGCATCAGCAGTTCCCTGTGTTTTTCTTTCCTATAAAACGGATCATTTTAAGGAACAAAAAACAATGTCTTATATGTTTACCATCACAACGAGGATCACACTTAATAAAAGTAACTAAGAAGAGGGTCCTAAGCTTTGGTTTTGCTCAACAGCTCAGGCCCCTGACCATCACATTGATTTTTTAAAAAAGATAGAGTCAGCCGGGCGCGGTGGCTCAAGCCTGTAATCCCAGCACTTTGGGAGGCCGAGGTGGGTGGATCACGAGGTCAAGAGATCGAGACCATCCTGGTCAACATGGTGAAACCCCATCTCTACTAAAAATACAAAAATTAGCTGGGCATGGTGGCGCCTGCCTGTAATCCCAGCTCGGGAGGCTGAGGCAGGAGAACTGCTTGAACCCAGGAGGCGGAGGTTGTGGTGAGCCAAGATTGCGCCATTGCACTCCAGCCTGGGTAACAAGAGTGAAACTCCATCTAAAAAAAAAAAAGATAGAGTCTTGCTCTATCACCCAGGCTGGAGTGCAGTGACACGATCTCAGCTCACTGCAACCTCTGCCTCCCGGGTTCAAGTGATTACCCTACCTCAGCCTCCCAAGTAGCTGGGACTATGGGCGCGTGCCACCATGCCCGGCTAATTTTTTGTACTTTAGTAGAGACAGGGTTTTACCATGTTGGCCAGGATGGTCTCAAACTCCTGACCTCATGATCGCCTGCTTGGGATACAGGCGCACGCCACCACACCCAGCTAACTTTTGTACTTTTAGTAAAGATGGGATTTCACCATGCTGGCCAATCTGATCTAGAACTCCTGACCTGGTGATCCACCCACCTCAGCCTCCCAAAGTGCTGGGATTACAGGCATCAGTCACCGCAGCCAGCCCAAACCATTTCTTAACAGCAGGACACTTTCAACAAATCAATACATAAAACTGATAAAAGCAGATGAGCTCTTCAAAATGAGAGGGAGGCCTCCAGTAGTACCAGCCTGATGCCTGCCCCACACTGGGGGCATCTGCACAGCATCATCCTGCAGCTCTGTGCACAAGACTAAAACACAGGGTGAAGGGGGCAGAGCACTACCAGGACACCCAGCTCCAACACACACAAGGCTGCCTAACTGGACCCTTCTCCTCCATCTGCTCTCCATAAAGCCCTCTAGTTATTACTCCCTAGACGGCAATGCCTCACGCTTAAAGATAATGTCTTGAATTACAGGGGATCCTTTTTTAAACCCAGAGTTCCTGAGCCATGCACACCAAGAGTCACTAGAGCTACACTTTTCCCTTTTTTTCTCTTAACATATGTCAGACTTCCTTAAAGAAAACCAAAACGAAGATAAAATAATGCCTTGGGCAATTAGAGGAGCACTGGAACAAAGAGGCTAAGTGGCTTGTTAGAATTCTGCAAAGAACAGTTTGTACGATACGCTTCCTTATATTCATCATTAGTTGAAATTATGGAACAAAATTCTATCAACATTAGGACTTGTCTTTTTGTTGCTAAAATAAATCCATACAACAGGAATGGGCTGAGTGTGGGCATGCGAATCACCAGTGAATTAGAATTTTTCAGCATTCAGCACCAACAGAAACGAGTCAGTAGGCCTGAGATAAGTGAAAACAGAAGTTGCCATAGTAACTTGCACATTTACCCTAAAATGGCGGGAGTGGGGGTGGGGAAATAGGTCAATGTTTCTGCTTAACTAGCTCTATTCCTTGTCTAAAGCAGCATCCTTCTCCTTCCTCACCCCCAACAGGAGCCAGACAGGGAAAGTCAGATGGGCTTTTCAAAAAACGAGGGTAGAGAAAGAGGTCTAGGAAGAGGGAAGAGAACCACAAAGACAGCTAAATAAAAACCTTTCGAGTACCCTGGGACGACCCCCAGGGAAAGCAGTTGCTGATCAAGGGCAGCAGTGCTAAGAAACTGTTGCTGGGTTACTACAAATCAGGAATTGCCATTTTTTCCTGTAGCGGTTTAAGCGCATCTAATGGAACACTTGGGAGTGCATTATTAACAGCCTGGGGCTGGGGACAGTGGAGGAGAGGAAGGCAGACTCTGGCATGGGAGAAATCTGAGGTCCTCGGCATTCTTTGATGGTTGAGAACTATGAATGGGGCTGAAGGATGTCCCAAAACAGAGGTGAGGAGAAGAGGGACACTTACGGGGTTCCTTTTCAAAATAAGCTAATTTTGTTAACACAGAAGCAGTGCCCTTTACTGCATGGATCTGAAACAGCGACTCATCCAGGAGGGCTGGGGGACTCGGTCGGAGCTGGCATAGAGTGCCAGGGTGCACTACCAGCCCTTCCGCCTGCAGTGCCGACAAATGTGGGAAGCGGGTGAAACAGAAAGCACGTGAAAACAGGCGCAGTTCCTCCTTCCTGCACCGGCTAGCGTCCACACGGAGATACCTCAGAGCATTACTAATGGTTTAACCATTTGCTGCGAGGGCCCTGGCATTCTAGAAAATGACAGAAAGGATAATCCTTTTGGGTGGTGGGGAGGTGTCGAAAAAGCAGAAACATCTTTTTAACCACAGACTACTTCAAACACAAACCTCTAGATACCATACTGCCCTGTGCAGGAGTCTAGGCTTCCACAGAAAGGGCCATTCGGGTGCCACTGGGGAGTGGACTTCAGCCCAGCGGCACTTCCAGCTGCAGAGTAGAAGGACAGGCTCAATCTCGAATTTGAGCTCCTGTTTTCAGAAACATGGCAGTCCCTGCAAACTGTTGTCTTGTGCACGTCTCTACTTCCCTACCCTACAAGGGCAGGGAAGGAGCCTCGGACACACAGCAACGTGTAAGATGACTTTAGAGACTGAGAGCAGCCAAGAGCCTGGGAGAACAGCACCCAGCAGAAGCCTGCTGCAGGGGCTGAGGAGACAGACACAAAGCGGCAGGCGCCAGGTCCCCACACATCCTAAGAAGGGAGGAGCATGTGCTGAGCAGGGTGTGCAGACACTTCAGGAGGGAATCTTCAGGCAACAAGAAGCCAACAGACCTGGGAGAGAACTACAAGAACCAACAGACGCTGTTCTGACACTGCCTCTCAGCACTGCCCGGAAAATCATTCAGTGTGGCTAGCTTAGAGGCATTCTTCCTTTACTATGGCAGTACCGAGGACAAAGAGACATCTGTGAGCAAATCATTTTCTTTTCTTTTTTCTTTCTTTCTTTTTATTTTTTTTTTTGAGACAGGGCCTTACTCTGTTGCCCCAGGCCAAAGTGCTGAAAGTGTAGTGACATGGTCATGGCTCACTGTAGCCTCCACCTCCCAGGCTCAAGTGATCCTCTCACCTCAGCCTCCTGAGCAGCTGGGACTAGAGGCATGCAGTATCAAAATACAAAATTTTTTGTATTTTTTATAGAGATGGGGTTTCACCATGTTGCCCAGGCTGGTCTCAAACTCATGAGTTCAACTGATCAGCCCGCCTCGGCCTCCCAAAGTGCTGAGATTACAGGTATAAGCCACCAGGCCTGACCACAAATCATTTCTTTTAACTTTTTATTCCAGAAAATGTTCTAGCATACACAAAATAGAAAGGGATAATGATCTATCACCCAGTTTCAAACGGTTAATATTCTAGTGCTAATCCGAAAGTCAAGATAGAACCCTTCATTAGAATGATCCCCAAGTGTCACACATCAAAAGCCTGCAATCCAAAAAGTCAACTTCTCAATTCTCTGGAGCCTCAGAGGCAGCTATTCTAGGAAGGCAGCAGTGGTAAAACAAAAGAAACGGACTTGGCTTTCAATTCTTGAGGCATGTCCACCAGCGTAATTCTACCTGCAAAGTATTTCTACAGCCTATGTTGCCTGAATTCTTGCTGTTGTTTTCATTATTATTATTATTATTATTTTTTAATTTTTTTGAGACAGAGCCTTGCTCTGTGGCTGAGGTTGGAGTGCAGTGGCACAATCTCAGCTCACTGCAACTTGTCTCCTGGGTTCAGGCAATTCTCGTGCCTTAGTCTCCCTAGTAGCTGGGATTACAGGCATGCATGACCATGCCCAGCTAATTTTTGTATTTTTAGTAGAGACGTTATTTTACCATGTTGGCCAGGCTGGTCTCGAACTCCTGGCCTCAGGTTATCCGCCCAGCTCAGCCTCCCAAAGTGCTGGGATTACAGGCATCAGCCACTGTGCCTGGCCAAAATTTTGATATCTAAAAGATACATTTCTGTCTGCTGAGCCAAAATCACTATACGCCATACAAAGCCACCGAGGGAAGCCCCATGGTCTCCACAATCAGCTTTCCAGGATGGGATCTTGGTTACAACCTTTCCATTTTGACTTAAGCATTTGGGGCAAATTCCAGTTACACAGGACAATACAGATTCAGTTCACTTATGACTGACGAAAACCCACCATATGCTGGCAGGTGGTGAGGCCAAAGCAAAGTCTGTACTTACTGGTACTGTTACATCGTCATAAAAACTCCAAGCTAAGGCCCATCTCATCGTCCGACCTTGACAGAATTCAGTGTAGGTGACTTTTGGGACCTGAAACCAAAAAAGACAGCATTTCATCAAACTGAAATCATTCTACCACTATGTTTCTGGCTGCTGCCTCATGCTATTTTATGTTGCCCCTTCTTTTTTAATCAGTTAACAAACACTATTACCAAACAACAGTTATAGATAGCTGCCTAATAATGAATGAATAAATCATCTCTCAACAAAGTTGTTTTTTTCTCCCATAAAACGTAAGAGAATTTATAGATCTGACTTGAAGTTTCAAATATATGAAACACAGAAAAGACAGCTAATGAGAGAATTATTTGTAATATGACTCAAGTGGTTTTATTTATTTATTTATTTTTGAGACCTAATCTTGCTCCGTCACCCAGACTGGAGTGCTGTGGAGTGATCTCAGCTCATGGCACCCTCTTCCTCCCAGGTTCAAGCAATTCTGCCTCAGCCTCCTGAGTAGCTGGGATTACAGGCATGTGCCACAACGCCCATCTAATTTTTGTCTTTTTAGTAGAGATGGGGTTTCGCCATCTCAGCCAGGCTTGTCTCAAACTCCTGACATCAGGCGACCCACCCACCTCGGTCTCCCAAAGTGTTGGCATTACAGGTGTGAGTAACTGTAACTGGCCTCAAGTGGTTTTTTGTTTTCTTTTTTAGAAAGAAAGCCAACCAAAGCCTGGCTAGACACAGGTAGATATTATCTCTCTCCCTTTTTTTTTTTTTTTAAATGAAGTCTTGCTCTGTCACCCAGGCTGAAGTGCAGTGGTGCAATCTCGGCTCACTGCATCCTCTGCCTCCTGGGTTCAAGCAACTCTCCTGCCTCAGCCCCCTGAGTAGCTGGTATTACATTACATGCCACCATGCCAAGCTGATTTTAAAATTTTTAGTAGGAACGGGGTTTCACCATGTTGGCCAGGATGGTCTTGATCTCTTGACCTCTTGATCCGCCTGCCTCGGCCTCCCAAAGTGCTGGGATTACAGGTGTGAGCCACCACGCCTGGCTGGTAATCTCTTCTATCAATCAGATTTTAGGAAAGGAAAAGGAACTACTTTGTAGCTTTCACAATTTGCCCAAGAAATGGTATTGTAAGGAAAAGAGGAGGAATAGGATGTCAGAGAGAAACCAGAGATCAGAAACTCTGTTTCCCTAACTGACTTGCATCTGACCCTTTTGCTGAAAAGTCCTCTGACTCAGACCAAACACCATAAACAGAGAGGAAAGTGGAAGTGGCAGGGGGAGTCTTTATTTTATTTAAAAAATAATTTTGGAGACAGGGTGTCGTTCTGTTGCCCAGGATGTAGTGCAGCGGCATGATCTCAGCTCACTGCAACTTCAACTTTCCAGGTTCAATGGATCCTCCAACCCCAGTCTCCTGGCTAGCGGGACCTACAGGCATGCACCATCACACTTGGATAGTTTTTTGTATTTTTTTGTAGAGATGGGATTTTGCTGTGTTGCCCAGACTGGTCTTGAATTCCTGGGCTCAAGCAATCTGCCTACCCCAGCCTCCGAAAGCGCTGTGATTAGAGGCGTGGGCCATTATGCCAGGCCTGGGAGTACTTACTTGTGACCTGCCTTCTGAAACAGAAGCAGGGGCTATACTCTTTGGAATGTCATCCTAGTTCGAAGAACACTGGACCAAGACTGTGTTCTGGTGCTGTTCCCCCACAGCTAACTGCATGGCCCACCACAAGCCCCTAAACCTATCTAGTTTGAGTTTCTGGCTCCATATAGGACTGAGCTGAACTTGTCTTGGAGGCATGGTAAAAAATAAAAATCTAAAAAATTAAAAATAAAAAGGAGTTAGATGTAAGGTCACTGGTAGATATCAGGTTTTCTGGTTTCCAGTTTCTCTTTGACATTCTACTCATCTTATTTTTCTCCACCTTTCTCTGTTATATTTGTCCAAAAAGGCCTTGTTTCAATAATCTACATGTAAAATATATTTTAGCCCTAAATATATAAAACATGGAAAACAAAACAAAAAAACATATTTAGAGTTTTAGAGTTATACTTTAAATTCTATACTCAAAACTACCATCAGAGTAGGTAGTTGTCAGGGGCAGGGTCTCACACCTGTAATCCCAGCACTTAGGGAGGCCAGAGTGGGAGACGGCTTGAGGCCAGTAGTTTGAGACCAGCTTGGGCAACACTGTGAGACCCTATCTTTATAAAAAATAAGGATTACTTGAGTGCAGGAGTTTAAGACTAGTATGGGCAACACAGAGAGATCTTTTTCTACTAAAAATTACATTAGCTGGGCATGGTGGTATGTGCCAACAGCCGCAGCTACTTGGGAGGCTGAAGTGGGAGGATCACTTAAGCCTAGGAGTTTGAGGTTGCAGCAAACTGCAATTGTTCAACCACACTACAGTCTGGTTGACAGAAATCAAGGCTCCCTCCCTCCCTCCTTCCTTCCTTTTTTTTTTTTTTTTTTTTTTTTTTTTGAGACAGAGTGTCGCTCTTGTTACCCAGGCTGGAGTGCAATGGCGCGATCTCGGCTCACCGCAACCTCCGCCTCCTGGGTTCAAGCAATTCTCCTGCCTCAGCCTCCTGAGTAGCTGGGACTACAGGCACGCGCCACCATGCCCAGCTAATTTTTTGTATTTTTAGTAGAGATGGGGTTTCACCACGTTGACCAGGATGGTCTCGATCTCTCGACCTCGTGATCCACCCGCCTCGGCCTCCCAAAGTGCTGGGATTACAGACTTGAGCTCCTTCCTTCCTTTTTTTTTTTTTGGAGACAGGGTCTCACTTGGTCGTGGGCTGGAGTGCAATGGCACGATCTCGGCTCACTGCAACCTCCGCCTTCTGGGTTCAAGCAATTCTTCTGCCTTAGCCTCCTAAGTAGCTGGGACTACAGGCACGTGCCAGAATACCCAGCTAATTTTTTTATTTTTAGTAGAGACAGAGTTTCACCATGTTGGCCAGGATGGTCTCAATTTCTTGACCTTGTGATCTACCCTGCCTTGGCCTGACCCCACTTCTTAAAAAAAAAAAAAGTAGATATATGAGAAATAACCTCAAGATGGACTAGAGACTCAAATGTAAGAGCTGAAAGTATAAAAAACACTAGAATTGGTCCCAGAGGAAAATAAATCATTAGCTGGGGTGCAGTGGTGCACACTTGTAATCTCAGCAGTTCAGGAGACTGAGGTGAGAGGATGGCTTGAGCCCAGGAGTTTGAGACCAGCCTGGGCAACATGGTAAGATCCCATCACTATTAAAGAAAAAAGAAAAATTACCTAGGCATGGTGGCATGTGCCTATAGTCCTACCTACTCAGGAGGCTGAGGTGGGAGGATGGGTTGAGCCCAGGAGTTCAAGGTTATAGTGAGTCATGATCCGACCACTGCACTCCAGCCTGGGCAACAGAGATAGACCTTGTAAAGAAGAAAGAAAGGAGAAAAAAATAAATATCCGTACTTGAATCAATCTAAGTATCCATCAACAAAGGATTGGATAAGGAAAATGTAGAATGTATACACAATGCAATACTATTCAGCTACAAAAATGAATGAAATGCTGGGCTTGGTGGCTCACGCCTGTAATCCCAGCACTTTGGGAGGCTAAGGCAGATGGATCACCTGAGGTTAGGAGTTTAGAGACCAGCCTGGCCAATATGGTGAAACCCTGTCTTAAAAAAGAAAAAAGAATGAAATTATGTCTTCAGCAATAGGAATAGAACTGGAGGCCATTATCTTAAGTGAAACAACTGAGACACAAAAAGAGAGATACCACATGTTCTTACTTCTAAGTAGAGGCTGTATGGACTGATGGACAAAGGGAGACTTGTGGTACGGGGAGTGGGAGACCGGGTGATGGGAGATTGCTTGGGGGAGTGGGAAACCAGGTAATGGGAGGTTGCTTGGGGGAGTGGCAGGTGATAGGAGATTGTTTTTTTTTTTTTTGAGACGGAGTTTCACTCTTGTTACCCAGGCTGGAGTGCAATGGCGTGATCTCGGCTCACCGCAACCTCCGCCTCCTGGGTTCAGGCAATTCTCCTGCCTCAGCCTCCTGAGTAGCTGGGATTACAGGCACTCGCCACCATGCCCAGCTAATTTTTTGTATTTTTAGTACAGTCGGGGTTTCACCATGTTGACCAGGATGGTCTCGATCTCTTGACCTCATGATCCACCCGCCTCAGCCTCCCAAAGTGCTGGGATTACAGACTTGAGCCACCGCGCCCGGCTGATGGGAGGTTGCTAGGTGGGTACAACACACACAATGGACATAGTTCCAGGGATATACACTGAAGACCCTGACTTCACCACAGTGCAATATATCAATGTAGCAACACTGTACCTGTGCTCCATGGGTACAGAAAAGAGTAGCTACATCAGAACAGTAATGACAAAGCCTCACCCCTTGGATGCGAAGCTCTTCTTTCAGAGGCGCCAGGCTGCATTTCTTTCCCAGCATACAGCTATACCATCTAGGAAAAAAAAAAATCAGACAAGAAAATACTGTTTATGTGGCTACATTTTTAAACTAGGCATAATTCAAGAGAACAAGATGAGAACAATAACAAACACTGAGTGAAATTATAAGGGAAAAATAACAAGAATTACATACAATGCATTTAGACAAAGACTAAATCTAGTGATGGAGAACAAGCCCAAGGCAACTTAAAAAACATAAATGCACTTAGCCTCTCCAATGCTTCAGGGCTATATATTAAATATTTGGAAAGAGAGTAAAGAAGTTTCATCTGTCATGCTTAGAATGAAGGCCGTTTAGCTCTAGGACAGAAATGAGAAAATAAAGAACAAAGACATCATACTAAGAGAACTTGTAAGATCCAGCATGGACCTGTATTTTAAGATGTCCTCATCTGCAAGTAATTTAAAGATAGATAGTGCATTTGAGTTTCAACAGATCATGAAATCAATTTGTTCTAGATTAAAAACAAATCCAGAGGAAGGAATGTGGAGAAGTTGGACTGAACGGATTAAAAGGTAAAGGGACAGAATTTATTTCTTCTGATTAGCCTAAAAGGTTTGCAAAGGACCTCTGCTGCAGCCCAAGAAAGATCAGTCACTGTGGGAATTGCCTTTCCACCACAAACAACCAGGGAACTGGACAAAACAGATAAAATAGCTGTTTTTCAGACAGTGGACAACCGGCAGTGCAGACTAGTCTCAGAAACCCACAAGGTAAGCCTGCATTTGCCAGTGCTTCCTGCTTGAAGGAAATTCCCAGACTGCAGTACAGGGAAAAGGAATTCAAACACAGTCCAACAGTCTTGCTGAGGTGATGACACAGAGATCAAAGTTCAGAGATGCTGAGGGAGTTATGATTTGTAAAGCAAATTAGCACGGGTAAATGAAACCCAAGCAAGAAGAAAGAAAGAAGAAAGAAGATCAGAGTAGAAACTAAGCAAAGAGAAAACAGTAAAACAGTGGAGAATGACGAAACCGAGCCGGTTCTTTGAAAACACATTTTCTTGAAGCCAAGAAAAAAGATATGAGGCTGGGCGTGGTGGCTCACACCTGTAATCCCAGCTCTTTGGGAGGCCAAGGCAGGCGGATCACCTGAGGTCCGGGGTTTGAGACCAGCCTGACCAACACAGAGAACCCCGTCTCTACTAAAAATACAAAATTAGCTCAGTGTCATGGAGCGTGCCTGTAATTCCAGCTATGCTGGAGGCTGAGGCAGGAGAATTGCTTGAGTCCAGGAGGCAGAGGTCACAGTGAGTCAAGACCGCACCATTGCACTCAAGCCTCAGAAACGAGCTTCTGTCTTAAAATTAAACAAAAAACAAAAAAATGAAAAACAAGGCCGGGCACAGTGGCTCACACCTGTAATCCTAGCACTTTGGGAGGCCCTGGCAGGTAGATTGCCTGATCTCAGGAGTTTAAGACCACCCTGAAACCCCATCTCTACTAAAATACAAAAAATTAGCTAGGCGTAGTGGCTTGTGCCTGTAGCCTCAGCTACTCGAGAGACTGAGGCAGGGAACTGCTAGCACCCAGGATGCAGAGGTTGCGGTGAGCGGAGACTGCGCCACTGCACTCCAGCCTGGGCAACTGAGATTCCGTCTCAAACAAACAAACAAACATGCTTTTCAAATGGGCATGCCAAAATATTATGGTTAATGAGACACGATGATGTCTGTAGCTAATTCTTAAACAGCATAGGAAAAAACACATACATGCAGAATGAGTAAACGAAGATATAATTGGTGAATCTGGATGAAGGGTATACCAGAGTCATTTGCACAAATCTTGCAACTCTTCTGAAAGTCTGAAATTTTTCAAAACAATTTTTCTTGAAACCTACCATCTCAGAGGAATTCCTAAATGTTGTAATAAGTAGAGTGCTACCTTCATCATTAAAACAGTATAATGGCTTCGAAGTCTCTTGGGTGACTAGATCTTCCTTCTCTTCTTTTTTTTACTACTTGCATTTTGATTAGTTGTCAGAAGATGCCTGTTGAGAGTAGCTAGGATCTAGTGGGTAGGCATTTTTTAAATGTGCAGCTAAAATAGGATTTTTAACACATCCAGTGACTTCTGCTTTTTCTATAAGAAATACAATTGCTGCTGAAAACAGTACATATATATGACATTCAATCTTATGAAGTATCAATGGCATGTTTAACTATTACTAATCTTGTTTTCTAAATATTTCTTTTCCTTCGTCTCCTGAAGAATCTTACAGTATCTTTTTTTGTTTGTTTGTTTTTTGAGACAAGGTCTTGTTCTGTCCCCAAGATTGGGGTGCAGTAGTGCAATCACGGCTCACTGCAGCCCTGACTCCCCACGCTCGAGGATCCTACCAGCTCAGTCCTGCTAGTAGCTTGGACCACAGGCATGCATCACCATGCCCAGCTATTGTTTGTAGAAATGGAGTCTCGGTCATGTTGCACAAGATGGTCTCAAATTCCTGGGGTCAAGTGTTTCACCAGCCTCGGCCTCCAAAAGTGCTGGGATTACAGATGTGAGCCACCGTGCCCAGCCAGTATATTTTTTTGTTGTTCTCGGCCAGGCGTCCCCAATCTACGGCCCGCGGGCCGCATGCGGACCCCTGAAGCCATTTATCTGGCCCCCCGCCACACTTCAGGAAGGGGCACCTCTTTCATTGGTGGTCAGTAAGAGGAGCACAGTATGTGGCGGCCCTCCAACGGTCTGAGGGACAGTGAACTGGCCCCCTGTGTAAAAAGTTTGGGGATGCCTGTTCTAGGCCATTTTGTGGCTTCTGATAGCCCCGATGCATCTCATCTGTTCAGGAATGCTAGTTTTAAAGGAAAGTGTTAATTAACCTGTTTTATACTGTTACCGTGTGAACACTAATTGCTCCTGATTTCTCTTCTTTCATCTTGTTCCTAACACACCCGAGGCCTGGTTAATGATTTCTCCATTTATACACTTTCTTTTTTTTTTGAAACAGTCTCCCTCTGTCGCCCAGGCTGGAGTGCAATGATGCAATCTCAGTTCACTGCAACCTCTACCTCCTGGGTTCAAGCAATTCTCCTGCCTCAGCCTCCCGAGTAGCTGGAACTACAGGTGCACACCACCATGCCTGGCTAATTTTTTTGTATTTTTTAGTAGAGAGACGCTTTCCCCATGTTGGCCAGGCTGGTCTCGAACTCCTGACCATAAGTGATCCTCTGGCCTCCCCAAGTGCTGGGATTACAGGCGTGAGACACCATGCCCAATGACACTTTCTTAAAGGGAACATATTATTTTTCTTCTAAACATTTTTTTTTTTTTTTTTTGAGACAGAGTTTCGCTCTTGTTACCCAGGCTGGAGTGCAATGGCGCGATCTTGGCTCACTGCAACCTCCGCCTCCTGGGTTCAGGCAATTCTCCTGCCTCAGCCTCCTGAGTAGCTGGGATTATAGGCATGTGCCACCATGCCCAGCTACTTTTTTTTTGTATTTTTAGTAGAGACGGGGTTTCACCATGTTGACCAGGATGGTCTCGATCTCTTGACCTCGTGATCCACCCGCCTCGGCCTCCCAAAGTGCTGGGATTACGGGCTTGAGCCACCGTGCCCGGCTTCTAAACATTTTTAAACCACCAAATGAAATGTATTATTCTTTAAATGACTTTACCTGGGTTTATTAAAAGTAGTTTGGCTATAACAATTATTTCTTTATTTTCAAAGGGAAAAAGGATTGCTTTAACAAAAATAGGTGCAATCACATGTTGAACTCACAAACAATGAAGACAAAATACTTGTTGATGCCCACTATTTCTAAAGTAATATAATAGTATTTTTCATACTTTTCAATTACATAGATTTTTCATTTACGTTATTTAGTGTATGAGGTTGAAATACCAGATTGCCAGTCTTCAACAGTCTTTGTCCTATAAAGTTTTTGACCTATAAAAATGTCAGTTTCATAAAGTTTTAACCTAATTTGTGATTTTAGAGGCTCTTAAATTCTCTTAGAATTTTAGTCACTTCAAAATTCATCTTCGTAGTAGGTATTTTGTATACAAACAATTAAATATTGAATGTCTATCCCTTCATCTGAAATCTCCCTTTTAATGCGATTAGATGAATTTTGACTGACAGGTAATTACAATGCTTAGTGAGAAAAGCAGGAAATAGGCCAGGCTTGGTGGCTCCTGCCTGTAATCGCAGCAACTCTGGGAGGCAGAGGTGGGCAGATCTCCTGAGGTCAGGAATTTAAGACCAGCCTGGCCAACATGGTGAAACCCTGTCTCTAGCGAAAGTACAAAAATTAGCCAGGCATGCTGGCAATGCCTGTAATCCCAGCTACTCAGGAGATTGAGGCAGGAAAATCGCTTGAACCCAGGAGGCGGAGGTTACGGTGAGCCGAGATCATGCCATTGCACTCCATTTTGGGCGACAAGAATGAGACACTGTTTCAAAAAAAAAAAGAAAGAAAGAAAGCAAGCAGGAGACAGAATATGTATTGTATTGCTAGTTCGGCTAAGCTGTTATAAAACAAGAAGGAGGGTGGGTGAGGTGGCTCACGCCTGTCATCCCAGCACTTTGGGAGGCCGAGGTGGGTGGATCATCTAAGGTCAGGAGTTTGAGACCAGCCTGACCAACATGGTGAAACCCTCTCTCTACTAAAAACACAAAATTAGCTGGGTTTGGTGGCGCATGCCTGTAATCCCAACTATTCAGGAGGCTGAGGTAGGAGAATCACTTGAAACCAGGAGGCAGAGGTTCCAATGAGCGGAGATTGCGCCATTGCACTCCAGCCTGGGCAACAAGAGAGAAAGTCAGCCTCAAAACAAACAAACAAGAAGGAAACGTGTATTATAATATTTTAACTATTATGTGTATTTGAAGGTATAAGATGATCACATTTACAAATTTATATATTTTAATCAGTTTTGCTGCGGTAAACTTGAGTACCTCCCATTTCAGTGTGCAGTTGGCTGAGTTTAGACAAATATGGAACATTTCCATCTTTCCTCTGTTTCCTCTCTGCAGTCTGTCTGCACTCTG